TTTGGCTTGCCGAGATTTATAACCTATATTCAGTCGCTATTTTATGGATTTTAGCGATATTTTCCGTTTGGGATACAACGGGGATTATTTTCTTATAATCTTCTCGATTTTCCGCTTCATAAGCTTGCTGCAAAATCAGCAAAACCTTATGGGATAAGCCACTAAATGCGAATTTTGCTGTTTTTGCTATAGGCAACCCAACTAGCTCGCCATTCATCTTTACAAAAATAAACCGAACCGGACGCCTAATCGAAAATCTTAAACAGTAATTTTCAACTTAATTATAATTCAATTATATCCAATGCATTGCAATACGACTATATCAATGATTTCTATGAGACTTCATTTACACAAAGCCTGGAAACACAAAGTTGGTAATTTCAGGCCAAAATCTATTAGCTGGCGGTATTTTTGTCCTTTTCTCTGCCATTTGAAGTATTTTTCTACTGATTAAAGGTTTGCTTTAAAGCTAATTTCAATATCAAACTATTTTTCGACGGTCTTTCGATGGGGGAAATTTTTCGTAGACTGAGATTCTTAAATCCAAAGTATTTAGAGGTGTTTAGATGGAATATGCCTCAAACACTGATAATGAGAAAAACGATTTCGAGCGAGTTCAACCACCGATGGTGGCGCTGCGAAACATCAAATTACTCGTTCTCGAGTGACAGTTATGACTTGTCAGACTTGTTTATTTATTGGAGTTGATGACATTTGTAATATAAAACAGTACTTACACACTTTCGATCGGTTTCTATTTCTTTAAAAGCTTGTAAAAGTTGACTAGAACCAAACACAACAAATCACAATCAGATGTAAACACCAATGTCAACAAAATAAGTGTCAAATTTCTACTTAACTTGTATTAATAATTTTTACCACCTCTGGACTGGACATTTGAACTCCCGAATTTTCGTAATATATACAGGATGTTTGAATTTTTGTATTTTGTTGTTCAACTACCCTTGGAGGAGCTGCGAAACCCCAAATTACACGTTGTCAAGTGACAGTTATGACTTTTCAGACTTGTTTATTTACTGGAGTTGGGGACATTTATAACATAAAACAATTCTTACACATTTTCGATCTGTTTCTACTTCTTTAAAAGCTTGCATTAGAACAAAATACAACAAATCACAATCAGATGTAAAGACCAATGTGACACCAATGTTAACAAAACAAGTGTCAAATTCT